GCAGTGGTCCGCTGGAAACAAAAAAAAAACAAGTTTCAGCGGGAGTGGCTAACGAGCAGGCTTTTTATTATTAGCTCCAAGAGTCCTGGGTCGCCCAGCGCCTTTCTCTTCTCTCCGGTTCAATACTATCTTCCTTCCTTATTATCTGCTGATGGCATTATTGGGTTCTTCCTTTCCTTTCACTCTACGCGTTCACACTCCTCACTAGCAAGCCCTATTCTCCTCCTCGCCCTTTCCTCCATCTTGTTTCCGACATCAAACAACCACCCCCTTCCACTCTCTCTACCCTCAGTCCGAATACACCCACCCCGATAGGCCAAAGAAAACCCACATAAATCACGACAGCTCCCACCACGGGCCACGAACAGCAAGCCCCAGCATCTCGTTCCTTTCCACCACCATCAACTTGAAGAACATAATGAGCAGCAATAAATCACAGTCGCCGTTTGAGCATGGCGGCCTCAGCCAGGACCCACGGTACGACCCAGACTCTCTGCACTACGGGGGCTACCGGCACGAGTCCGGCGCCTCCGAATACCACGTGCCCCTGCCCAGCTACCACCTGAACCAGCAGCCCTTTAGCCACAGCACCGGCGAGCTGGCCGCCCTTAACCGCCAAGCCACCCGCGGGCGGTCGGAGAGCGACGGATACAGGTCCATGTCGGCCAGGTCATCAGAGGACCGCGCGCCCCTGACCACGTTCTTTGGCACACAGGCGTGGCAGCGGCTGTCGACCAACCTGCCCTCGGGCGTCCGTGACCCCCTGAACATCGACGAGCTCGAGAGGGAGGAGAGACTGATGATGCCCCCGTATGGTAGACAGGGCGGCCTGAGTGCACCGGCCATCCAGCCAGTCTCCAGTATGCCGACCAATGCGGCGTCGAGGAGCCACCTCAACAGCTCAATGTATGGCTCGCAGCCCTACCAGTCGTCCAGTGGACATGCAACGGGCGAGAAGCAGGGCTCCAGGCACATCAGCGAGATATCAACAAGCTTCCTCAACTCGAATGCCGGTGGGAGCAATGGCGTGCCGATGCTTAGCGAGAAGACAGGCAGCAGCGGAAGCGCACTGCCGGCTCCACCACTGGATTGGGCGTACATCCAGGACCACAATTTGCGGAATGGCGGCCTGCCCTCGCTTGACCAGGTGCTGACGCGCCGCACGCGTGCGCCCCTCGCGCTGCGCGACTTTGCGGTTCACTGCTCTGTGAGACAGCCGCAGGCGCGCAGGTGGCTGGAGTTCTACATGGCGGCGCGGACGCACGAGAAGATGTGCCTGGCGTACGAGAGCGACCTGAGGCACGCCAAAGCACGCAGCCATTACGCGAGTGCTGACAGCAGGATTTTGCCCGACCGCTTTAACTCTGGACTGCCCGGATCGCTGAGTGGCGCGATTGCGGGGGAGAAGGAGAAGCACAGGTCGAGCAAGTACACGCACAAGTCGGATATCCACGAGCTGTCGGATGCGCAGAAAAGAGCGGCTGCGCACACGGCTACGATTGAGTCGCTGTCGCGTGGCAGGGCAACCACGGAACCGCCGGGCGATGACCCCCTGCTGTATCCAGAGGACGACATCCAGGCCACACCACAGCCGCCGCAGTCGCAAGGGGGTGCGAAGAGCGGGTTCCACCGCAGCCACCGCCAGAGCACGCGCATGGCGCTGCAGATCCAGACGGCCGCGGAGACGATATTCCTCAGATACTTCCGTGCGGCGCTTGACCCCAATCTGCTGCAGGGCGGCAGTCCGTCTTACTGGCCCACCAACATGATGCCCAAGGTGCACGGCGGTATCGGCGGTGCACATGATGACAGTGGAAAGATGGGGTCGCTCAAGCGCATGCTGACGCAGAGGGCTGCTGGCGCCGGCGGGCCGAGGTCGAAGAACCCCAAGGGCCTGCACCTGGCCCAGAACACCCTGCGCCCAACATTCGACGACCCCTACCACCAGGGATACGGCGTGGCGGCGACGGACTCGGTGTACGTCAGCGCCGCCCCTACCACCAGGGATACGGCGTGGCGGCGACGGACTCGGTGTACGTCAGCGCCGTGGGCACGAATAACACAAACGACCCTGCCGGCAACAGCGGCCGCCATTCGGGGGCCGGCAGCGAGTACAACAACAAGCACGGGGAGCTGGCATCGCCCACGTCGCTGGTCATGTCGCGCGAGCACCTGACAAAACCAATCACGGGCGACGGAATGATGATGCCGCAGGCGGGCAACCACCAGCAGCAGCTCATGCGCTTGCACCAGGGCTCGGGACTGAGCGGCACGCTTGGTGGGTCGCGCAGGCACCTCTACTACCACATGCCGTGGCCCCCGGAGATCTTGACGGACATTGAGCAGAGGCTTCTGCACGATGGCGCAGCACTGGACTCGAAGCTGTTTTCGGAGGCACTGCTGTATGCGTATGACGTCCTCGACACGTACTACTTCCCCATCTTTATCTCGGACGCCACGTCGCGCAACGTCACCCGCGACCACTGCATCCTCCGCGTGTTCATTGCATTCGTGCTCCTGTGGTTTGGATTCGCCCTGCCGCTGGCGCTGATTCTGCTTGACCACGACCCGAAGGCGACCAGGATCTGGTGTCTCATCCCGCAGCTCATCGGGTGGTGGAACATGTCTGTGGGGTTCGGCGGGTGCGACCTCCTGCTGGCCGCCATGCGCAAGTACCAGTCGCCTGCGCTCAAGGCCCCTGACCCACAGGGCCCTGCAAGGCCACCCACTGCGGGGAGGAACAAGCATGCGTCGAAGGACACGTTTGACAGCGCGAGGACCAAAAAGAGCAAGACATGGCTTGCGTTCCTGGCACCATCGTCGGCATCTCACGTGGGCGGGTGGCGCAGAGCATGGTTCTCAACACGGGTCTCGGTGGACTTGACTGCCACGAGGATGGTCAGAGCCAGAAGCATCCGCTGGTTCATTGGCGCCCTATTGATGACTGCGATTAGCACGGCCATTTTGAGCGCTGTGCCTGGAACGCGTATCTACAGCGACTAAACAGCTATTTCACGACACCCTTTTTTTGCCGCATTTATTCATCCATTCACTTGTTCGTTTGTTTGTTCGTTCATCCATTGTTCTTCTTCCCCCCTTGAATCGCCCAGCAAACAATGCTGCTACTGCCATGTCGACGTTGAGCGTCATGAGCTGCAAATAAAAAGGAGCCGCAGCAATTGACCGAGTGCAAAACGTGGCTCCTGTGGGGATCGAACCCACGATATTTGCCGTGTAAAGGCAACGTAATAACCACTATACCAAGGAACCTCAACTGCAGAGAGAATTTGATCTCGCTCAAGTTTCTGGGCCCCAAAATTTTCCGCAGCTAGGCAGCCCTATGCATCGCTCATTTGTCTGCAGTGCAGCAGTTGGCGATGTAGCTACCCTGCAAAGCTGGTGCTGATTCACTGTCTCAACCAGGGCAGTGAAGACGCACCATTGAGCTGTGGATATGGCCACTTGAGCTGGCTCGAATAGACAAGCAAGCGAAGCACACATTGTTGATGTCATCACTGCATTGTCATAGCGCAGATGCTGGTCTTGTGCTCGTGTGCGACGCTGTGTGATCACAAGAAATCAATCTGCGCACTAGGAATCTGGAGAAATGGAAGCACAAAACAAGCACAGCCACTTTTTCTCCTCCCTGCTCAGCTTTTGCACATTTATTCTTATACATATACTACTTTTGGCCCTGCGCTAGCCTCAAGAATGCCTAACCAGGGAGGCGAAGAAAGCAGCAGCAGCAACACACAGCCCCGGGATAGCACCCACAGTGGAGGCGTTTGGGATGGGCCGAATTTGCCCATCCCGCCACGGCCACGGCGAATTCCAACCGACGCAAGCAACAGAGCAAGCCTTGTCTTCCAGCGCTTGCACGCCTCAGTCGCACCGCCGCTGCTGCCGCTGAGCTCGCCAAGCCGACACTCGACACACAGCAGCCATTTACAAAACACACCCCGTGTCTTGGGACGCAGCTTGACCGAGGGATCGCGTGGACAGAGAAATAGCACCAGCGAGTCCATATGGACACAGCAGAGGCAGTCGATGGCGCAATCGCCCGCCAGCTCGGTGCATGACCACCAGCTGCTGCGGTTGGGCTTGGTGACCCCTGAAATGCATTCCAGCCAGTCGCTGCCACACCCGTGGTCTCTTCCTACAGATCCGCCGCATTTGGTTGGTGGTAGAGAAGACAGGAGACGGTCATCGGCATCGGTGTCAGCATATGGAAGAACAGTGCAGACACATGCATCCGGCCATTTGGGTGCTATCGAAGAGACTGACAGCAGCAGCAGCCATATCCCCGAAACGCTGGCATCAGCGGAGACCGAGCCCTTGCTTGGAGCAGAGCCTGGCGATAGTATTGGCAGTGGCTCTCCTTTCAGCATACAAAACCCATCGCCCTCGCCCAGCCAGCGGATTATCGGCACTGCAAAATCGGCAAAGGACTACGTAGCAGGGTGGATTTCTGGTCTGAGCACGCCACACATGAATGTGCTCAAGGCGGTGCTTGCCTATGCTATTGCATCGCTATTCCCATTCGTGCCTTACCTCAGAGACTGGCTGGGCGACCCGGACTACATGTCGCCCCATCTGGTAACCAACGCAACTATCTGGTACCATGCAGCCAAGTCGCGCAGTGGGCTGGCCGAGGGCGGGTTGGTTGGTCTGGTCTGGGTTCTGGTCACCAGCTGCGTGACCTATACTGCGCTGTTTATCGCCGAGTGGCTGCACTGCCAGTACGCCCAGGACCCGACCACTTCCGTCCTATCGCTCCTCCAGAAAGCAGCAAAGGACGGCGATGTTCCTGAGGCGTTGCCGCTGGCTGTCCAGAGCAAGGTTGTCAGCCTTGTTGTGTTTATATTCGGGTACAGCTGGTGTCTGGCGTTCTTCAAGGCAAACGCCAACCGCCCCTCGGTGGGAACGGCCACTGCGATCTCAAACATTGTGCTCTACTTGGTGATGCTTCGCGAGGCGCCGATTGTCAACTACAAGGCAGCTGCTAATGAGGACATGGATGCTGCGGCGGCACTGCTGAAGGGCAATGGCAAGATCCCGTGGCCGTTTCCCAGCGACAGCGAGAGCCTGGCCGAGAGCGTTGGGAGGAAGACCGAGCACATCTTTGTCGCTGTGCTTACGGGGATGACCATCAGCCTGCTTGTTGGGTGGTTTGTTCGGCCCACCACTGCTGGCCAAGGCCTTCGCAAGCAGCTCCATACAACCTTTTCTTCATTTCGCGACCTGCTGCCGCAGCTACTGGCGCCCATTGTCAGCGAAAGGACACCATCAAACACCAAGGAAAAGCTACAGGGCGCAAAACCAGAGGAGCTGAAGGAGGGTCTGCGTGCGCACAGGCAGCGGCTCCAGCAGCTGAAGAAGCAGCTGGGCGCAATTGCGCTCGAGCCTACCGAGTGGCATGTGTGGGCGAGAAGGAAGAAGCTGGCTGCGCTGATTGCCTGCTTAGACGGCCTGAGCCTGCACCTGAGCAGCATGAGCAGCGGGCTGGAGCTGCGTGTGATTGATCACAATTCGGATGCGTTCGAGGGCGACCTGGATGCCGCTGCGTACTCGGCTATTATCCAGCGAATTCGCGTGCCTGTGGTTCAGCTCGGACGCATGTGCGACAAGACACTGATGGCGATACAGGACATGGTGGATGCGGCTTTGGATCGCGACCAGCAGCAGCAGTCGGGCCAGCAGCATGCGATGTACTATGAGGGCATCTGCGAGTGCCCTCCTCAGTCGCGCAGTGCTGGTCCTTTAAGCACCTGTGCTAACGAGTTTGATGTAGGAGCACAACAGGACGCAGCGCCAGATAGCGATGAGGAGCAGAGCCTTCTGTGCGACACTTGCCTCAGGCCGACCGACTACGACCCAGTGTCCAAGAAGATCATGCGGCTGCGTGTGGAGATGGTCGACGCCATACAGGCATTCCACGACGACTACGACGAGGCTGTCAATGACCTGGCAAACATCCCGCTCAGCCCACAGGCGCGCTCGCTCGCTGGGCCTATCCTTGACTCGCCGTCCAAGTGGCAACCACCCACACTGCCTCCACAACTGCCGAAGCCTGCAGCAGCGAACAGCTCGAGCACGACGGAGGAGCAGCTGTTTATTGTGTACTTTTTCGTATTCAGCATGCGCGAGTTTGTCGATGAGCTGTTTGGCATCCTGCCGCAGGTAGCCGCAGTGTGCCGGCCGCCACGTCCGCTCCGCTCCGCCTTTCGTCGGAACCTGCAGCCACGCAAGCTGCTGCATAGGGTGCGTTCCTTTGCTGACTGGGTGGCTGGCCACTTCTGGGCCCTGTGGGACACTGGAGCAACAACCGAGCTCGAGACGCGGTACGAAGTAGCTCAGTTCACCGACCCGCGGTCTCTGCACGCGCCTAGGCCAACGACAAGGCTGCAGAGAGCCGCGCAGGCTATTTGGCGCGCATGCATGTGGGCGCGCCGTCTCAACGTCAAGTTTGCGACAAAGTACGCGCTGCTGATCACCGCTCTCTCCCTGCCTTGCTACTGGAGCATGGATGTGTACTTGGAGTTTCGCCGGCAGCGGCTCGAGTGGATGGTGATCTCGGCTGCAGCCATCATGGTGCCGACTGTTGGGGGTTCGGCGCTTGTAAGCGTGTATCGGATTCTGGGCACTTGCGCGGGTGGTTTGGCGGCGTTCCTGGTTTATGAAATTGGCAAGGACACGCCGCCGCTGGCGTATGTGCTGCTGGTCCTGTTCTCAATCCCCTGCTTCCACATCATCCTCAATGGAAAGTACCCGAAGATCGGCCAGTTTGCACTGATCACCTTTGGCGTGGTGCTCATTAACAAGTGGGTTGCTCGCGAGGACCAGTCGGAGAGCGCTGGGGGGCTTGCTGTTCGGCGTACGGCGTCGGTGGCGCTTGGGGTTATTGCCGGAATGGTCACCACCATGTATGTGTGGCCGTACGAGGCGAGGGTCAGGGTTCGGCAGGCGTTGAGCTGGTGGCTGCTGACTGGGTCTCTGCTATACGACCAGCTGTGGAACTCGCTTTGGCACTCGTACGTCAGCCCAACTGCTGCTGCTGGTACCAAGCTGGGTCCACAGGCCAAAGCGCAGGCTAGCTGCGAGAACACCGACGCCCCTGCGGTGCAGTCAGCACCAGCCGATAATGGCAGCAGTGTAAATAAGCAAGGTGGGGCTGGGGCATCAACCGAGTGGCATGCACTGACGACCGTGCGCGATTACTTGGATAACGAGCTTCAGCTGCAAGAGTCGCTGATGGAGATTCGGACGCTGCTCAACGATACGCAGAATGAGCCACGGCTGAAGGGCCCCTTCCCCATTGCCACATACCAGCGCATCCTCAACGCCTGCCAGCGGCTGCTGGATGCTATGGTGGCTGCGAGATGGGTGATGCTCCCAGTGCCCATGGTGGTTGCAACACGGCTGCACCACTTTCCGCCCCCGCCTCCACCACCACAGCCAAAACCACAAGGGCGTGGGAACCGACACCAGCAAACTCAGCACACAGGCGAATTGCTGGGGAATAGCGAGCTGCTTCCGGGGAACTCTGCAGCAGCAGTTTCAGCCAACTTGCTCAGCACATTTGTTCCCGCGGATCAAGGCACGTCGGACATTGCCATCACCATCTCGCGCGACTTCAACGACCGTGGCAGCGGTGGCGATCAGGCTGACGTGGACGAGCAGCTGGCGAACATCAAGTACGCGCTGAACCAAATCTCGGCGCATAGGAGAAGGGGCAGCGATGCCTCTAGCAGCAGCGAGGGTAGCGACAACATAGGGCGCAGGCATCCCCATTCTGACGATGACAACGAGGGCAGACGTGGTGGTGGTGGGTCGGACGGCGACTCGGCATCTGTGTCTACCGACAGGAGCGTGCTGGAGAGCGGGAACACAACCGAGGAAGAGGCGGGCCGGCTGCTCCTTGACCTGCCCATCGGGATGGCGTCAACGGTGATGCTTGAGCGCGAACAGCACGAGCTCGATAGCCTCATTTTGGGCCAGCACCCAAGGCCGCACTCGCCGTTTTCAAGACACACAACCCGTACAGATGGCGAGACAAGGCACGGGGACGCCGATGTACCAGAAGTGAACTGCAGACGCGTGCACTTGTCTTTTGCCAGAGACGGGTATGATGGCGATAGCGACGACAGCGACGACAGCGATGGAGATGGTGAGCAGTTTGGGCGCTGGGATCGCGACTCGGAGCATGATATCTCGCGACGGATCCGGCAGCACGTTGAAGAGGATCTGCTGAAGCGGACGGCGGCCGAGCG